TGATGAAACATTGTAGAGCAGGTATACCTGTAGAGGTAATGGGACTTATGTTGGGAGAATTTATAGATGAATATAATATAGTGGTAGTAGATGTATTTTCAATGCCACAATCAGGAACAGGTGTAACTGTTGAAGCAGTTGATCCAGTATTTCAGACTAAGATGTTGGATATTCTTAGAGCAACTGGAAGAACTGAAAATGTAGTTGGTTGGTACCACTCACATCCAGGATTCGGATGTTGGTTATCGTCAACAGATGTATCAACACAAAGCGCATTTGAACAGATGTGTAAAAGGGCAGTTGCAGTAGTAGTTGATCCTATACAGAGTGTTAAAGGAAAGGTTGTTATTGATGGATTTAGAAACATCTCTCAAATATCTTTTGATGATGTAAGAATAGTAACAAGTAATATTGGATATTTAAAGAAGCCTTCGTTTATTTCTTTAGTGAGAGGATTAAATCAGAAATATTACTCGTTTGATATTAAATTTACAAAAGATCAACTTGATCAAAATATGTTGTTTAATTTGAATAAAAAATCATGGTCAGATAATCTTAAACCTGTTAAGATAAAAGGAAGTGATTTAAATAGCATATTCAAGGATTATTGTAAATCTGAAGCTGAATATCAAAATTCTGAAAAATTAGCAACTGAAACTGATCAAATGGGTAAAACGAATTATAAAAAACATTTGATAGAAAAAACCAATGAAGTTATTGAAGAGTGCACTGTCAATGAATTACTTCATGCAATTCATAATTACATTTTTCAATAAAATTTTATTCATTTTCAGTTTTTAAATTCTCATAAATAGTTTGTATTGAACCGTATTTGTTTTTAAGTTTAGTAGAAATAGCAGAAAGTCTATTAAATATTGTTCCAGTTTCAGCTCCCTGAATAAGTCTACCAATAGCATCTTTTGCTATGTTAATATTTTCAGTTACGCCTAAAAGTGTAATTGTTTGATCTTGTAACAGAAATTTACATCTAGAAGTATTTTCAATAACTTCCTTTGTTTTTCCATTTCTACCAATAACTCTTCCTATTGCACGTTGAAGATGATTAGATTTCATTTTTCTAATTTCACTTATGTCAAACTTATCCATAAACACATCTTTATATTTTAAAATAGCAATTGAGTCTTCCACTTTAAATCCAGCAAGCACTGCCTTTAAAAATTCTATTCCTCGGTCTAAAAATCCAATGTCCTTAGTCTTTTCACAAGCTCTTAAATCAACTGACTTTCTCTTTAAATCAAATCTAATTTGTAATTCTCCATACTCTACAATGGCTGTATAGATATCAGTCCAAATGCTTTTTAACTTCTTTATCTTATGAATTGGTATTTCTAATGATCGTGTGTTAATTTCATCCATTTTAAACGGTTTTTAAAAAAAATTATCAAAAGAAAAAAGAACAATCAATTACAGAATCAGTTTATTTTATCATCATCAATATCAGCCAGGGATAACTTGTTTCATCATTTTCTGTTGAATAAACCCTATAATATCAAATTTTATAAAATTATAAATATTATAGAGCTCATTGAGGGTGAAATTATTTTAGATTTAAATAATTTTTAATAAAAAAAGTTTTTATTAAAAATTTTTAACAGTAAAATTTACTTAAATAAATAAAGATAAGAAATTTAATTGATTCTTTGTTAAAGCATAATCAGTTACCGCTTAATATTAAATCATTTACGTATTATTTATTGATAAATATTTAAGAAAAATATTTTTAAAATACCCTTCAATGATGAAAAGGTTGTTCAACAAGCGCTGCTTCCAACTCATACTAACTATTTTCAAACAATTTATTTAATATATCGAAGTAAACTGCTTTATAAAAATAGAGATTTGTACTCGCCTTATTACATACAACCATCTGAGGAGAAATTAATAAACTAATACATATAATTTATTTAGTCTGTTACAAATATTTCTATACCGTCTAAAACGCCTGGATAAATAGTCAGTCTAGCATTCCATCCCAACATCTTAGCTATTTTTATATTCTTTTCTTTATCATCATAAAAAGTAATGAGTTTGGGATTTTTAATTCTCAGAAACTTCTGAACAAACTTAAACGAGTCTTTCATTGGTTTAAACAAAATTGGTTTGCGTTTAGAAGGAATGTTTGGATGAAACACGGCCTTAAAATATTTTTCAATTCCTAAATCTCTAAGAATCTTTTGTGCAAATTCCTTTCTGGCGTTAGTAAAAGCATATTTAGGGTGCCTTATTTTTGATAGAATAAAAATTAGATCATTATCTTTTGAATATTTTGGAATATTCTTTATTTTTTCATCAGTAAAATCAATAAATTCTTGCTGATCAATATTTAGCACATTTAAAGTTAAATTGAAACTCCCCATATTTGATCTACCCTTTAAATATTGTTTAAATCCCTCAGGTGAAGTTCTTTTTTTAAGCCAACTAGTAAATCTTTCTATATTATTATTAATTCCTTTACTTTTATAAAGAGTGTTGTCTATATCAAACACAAGTACACGATCATCAGAAATATACCCCTTTTGTAAGGATTTTAATTTTTTTAGCGATGTTATTGGTACGTAAACAGGGATGTTATCAGCTTTCAGACTTTTAATTAAAAAACATAAACATTCAATTAAACCTAACATCTTTGATTATTATTTATTCTCAAACATAATTATTTTTATTGATTTAAAACTTTAAAAACACAATTGTCTTAAAAGTAGTCTTTCAAACAAACGCTGAAAATTTAAGCTTAAATTCTTCTAAACAAACTATAAATTTTAATAAAAAATTTTACACGTTAAACATGACAGTAAATTAATTTATAAAACAATGGTGTTTATATATTAAATCTCAACATATATCATAGAATAAAGTATTTGGATTATTTCATAGAGGTTAAGAAATATAATAATGTATGTTGTGAACCATCATCTAATAAAGTAACGATATTATTGTTTTTTATTCAGTTCGTCATTAAATAGATAGTTTTTTTTATAATTTTTATAAAAACTGATAAAATTTTTAACCCTTATCTATCTACTCTTATTTGATTTACAATTATTTGCTAAATCCGTTCCTGAGTAGAACAAAAGGTTTGATCGATAAGATTAAACTAATATTTTAATAAATGTTTTAATTTACGTTTTGATCTCTTTTAGACTTAAAATATCTTTCTATTTCAGCAGCTTTTCTATCACTAAATTTAAGTGTATGAATGATTTTTTTACATTTTACACACTTTTCTTTTTCTTCTACACATCCTTTACAGAAATAATGACCACATGTTGCTATTTGAGGTTCTTTAAGAATACCTTTACATTCTGAACATCTTAATTCCTCTGGAACATTACCAACTTGCATACAATTCTGTCTTCTTATCCATTCTTTTGTCTGAACTTTAGCTTGTACATGATCTTCGCCTACCTTTTGCAAGAAGTCTTTAGGAACACCTGCTGGTATCTTTGTTCTCATCTGATCAAATGCTTTATCACTATTTGTTGGACAGTTTTGTATAAAATGGCCTTTAAGTCCACATCTATAACAAATATATGATTCTGGTGGAACAGATGCATTCTTTGAACCTTGGATCATCCTTGTTACTTGGAAGTTAGTACCTGCCATCCACAGTGGTATTCTTTTAATTAAAATGTTAGAGTTTCTACTTATCTTAGCATATTCATCTTCAAACTTTTCCTCAGTGTCGGCATCATAAAACTCAAGTTCAAAATCTTTAGCATTCATAGATCTTTGATTTATTACCTCGTATCTAAGCTCCCATAATGTTATAGTTGTTCCTTCAAATCTTATTATAGAAAAATTCTTACAACTTGCAAATCTGTATTTTATTTGTGAAGATTTTGTTACCATGAATAAGAATATAAAAAGATTTAAAAATAAATATTTTTCTTAAACAAGAAAGAGTAAAAATAGAACATGCGGCCTTAAACATTTGCTAAAGCTTATGTCGTACAG